AAAAAAAAAAAAAAAAGAACTCAAGAGTCTTAACGGGCACTAGAGTCTTGATTGATGCTAGGCAGCCTCATAACTCGTAGCATTTTTACAAAAGTGGGAGAGAAAATTCTGGAAATAATACCGTTGCCTATGTTTCTGGTTTATGTCTCATCTCAGATTTTTTTTTGTTTTTGTTTTTGCTTTTTTGGCAATATTGGGAAGCAAATCCAGTGCCTTGGGCATCCTAGGCAAGCACTTTACTACTGAGCTACATCCCCAGTCCTTATTTCAGTTCTTGAAACAAAGATTGGTCACTAGGACAGGAAAGCTGCAAGAACTGCAGCTTGTCCGGTCAGAAAGAATCATGAGGGCATCTCTTAGGCCCATAACCTCAATTTTCAAAGTTTAAAACCCACAGAAGAAATGTGGTAAACACACCCTAAGCAGTGTGCCTGGCTTTCCCCAGGGTGCTAGAATGCTAAGAAAAAGGCTCTGGTGCTTTTTTCCCCACCTAGTTTGTTCATTTTGCCAAACTAACGTGGACACTCCATACATTAAAAAAAAATGACCCACAATGAGCTCTTCTGACCAAATTGAGATTGGTCTCCCCAAGCCATCCCTGGGAAAAACCCTCCAATTCCATCAAGTAGTCAAAAAAACAGAGGTCTTAACCCACTAGCCACTAGACCTTGCAACACTCCTACAGATGGGGAAATCAAGACTTTAAGAAGTCTGATCTGCCCTATTCCTCCCACCCCCAGAGTTTGGGGAGGACTCTGAGGCTCAAAAGAGCATCAGGATTAAAATGGTGGTTCTAGGGAAGCTGAGGTGGGAAGGTTAGCCAAGGAGCTTGACCATGGCAGTGGGAACCCACACCCAATGCCCAATACCCATGCTTAGGCTCCAGTGGGAAGTGCAGACTACCTGGGTATGGTCCACAGTGGAGATCCTGCTCTGCAGCATGGCCTCTGGCTCAATCTTCTTTCTGATGGCCAGGCTGCTGACAGTCATGGTTTCTGTTTTCACTGGCTACAAGGAAACAAAGAAGGATACTTTGACTCAAGACCCATAAGATGTCTGCTTATAGGCAACTGTGGAATAGGTTAAGAGCTGTGTCCTACCCCACAGCTGGCCGGGTCTCTGGGAAGGTGTGAGGTCAGGGCAGAAGAGGCATGGTGTGAAGTCACAGACAAACAGCCCAAAGGGAGAGCCAGAGCTGCTGGCAGCTCCAGGCAGGCCTGCCTTGTGTCCCTGATCCATGTCCCTGCAAGGGGGCTGTATACCTTTTTAGGCTACCATTAAGAGGACGTTCATAATTCTATTACTAATACGCCCTGTGCTAGTCCCCATGCTAAATGTCTTCCTTGTGCACATAATATTGTTGAATCCTGAAGGCCTTCCACAGTTAAACCTGCACCTTCCAACTGCTTCATTCGAACTAGAGCAGGAGCCACACACATGGAGGCCTGCAAGGGGTGAGGCAGAAGGTGTAAATAAGTGAAGGGACTGGTAAAGGGCTGAGGGCGGAGGTGGTGGAGAGCAGGTGGACTCCACTCAGGTTTGGCCAACTGTTATCACGGCCTCTAGAGATAGGACCATCTGATTTTTTTAAAAATGATATAATGAACCCCTGGATTTTATATTTAATGCCATGATTTTTAAACCAGAGTTAAAGAAAACACATCTTCTGGCTAGATCTGGCCTGAAGGCCACCTGTCTCCAAACATACTCTAGAAGTCTTAAGCTAAATGATCCAAGTCCTCCACCAGGCTGTGCTATTCCCACTCAGGTTTCCCCACACAACTTGAATGGATGAATGGACACTAGCTTGTCATATAGCTGTTGGGGGGAAAGGGATTCTTACAGACGGTTGTAACCCTGCCATCTAGCCATTCATTCAATGAATCATCTCTTGGTGCTGAGAAGGTGCCAGGCTTAGAGGAGCGGCAGAGCAGGCCTGTCAGTCACTGACTGTTGGAGAATCCTGGAGCAGAGGCGTTACAGAGTGGGGAGGGGGACGCAACAAGAGCGACACTTCTGCACAGGGAGTCAGGAAAGCATATGCTAGGAAACTGACATCTGAGCTCTATCTCAGAGCAAGGCACAGAAAGGGAGGACAACCTTCAACCCAAAGGGTACAGCGTGGAGTGAGAACCCAGAATGGATGAGCTGGCATTTTACTGGGAGCATGGGAGGGAGGCTGGGCTGGAAGAGGTGAGGAAGCAAAGGAGCAACATGGACAGAGATGAGTTTCAGAAAGATCTCTCTGTAGCTCTACCGAGGAGGGCCACAAAACAGAGAAGCTCAGGCACAGTTAGTCCCTGTGTCCTTCTCAATGACTATGTATCCTCTTCTCCAGGTGTTTCCCACTACCATCCTGAGACCCCAGGGCTGGATGAACTTAAACTATTGCCCCTTCCCCAGGAAGCCCAGGGAGATGAGCCTGAGCCTGAATGGGGAAAACCATTCAAGATTCAGACCAGGCTCCACAGCCCGAGAGTCTACAGACACATGCTCTCTGCAGGTGCCATGCAACACAGGCAGGAGATGAGGAATTGAGTGAGAACAGACCACCTGTCATTGCTTGACCTCAGCAAGCAATGGGGTCACAGGGTTAAAACACCAAGGAGCGCGTGTTAGGGGTAAACCGATATGGCAACATGCGAGCACAGAGCCATGCTGTTCTGTGGAGGGACAGTCATGCAACATGAGGCAGCTTCAGGCTGCAGCTGGCTGCTCAGTCTTCTCCCGCATGGCCCAGGGCCCTCTGAGCATGCAGTGCCTGGTTGGGCCCAGGTTTCGATGAAGCTCCACTGTACCTCAAACTGGGGCATATCCGGGGTAGAGCAAGCCCCTCGATCCGGGCTGTCCTCGATGCCCCCAGACTCATCATCCTGCCCCTTGAGATCCCGGGAGAACACCAGGCCCTCAGTTTCAGAGTCGCTTTTGTCTCTGTCGAGTTCAGGCAGGCTGCGAGAGAAGTCTTCGAAGGCGCTGCCATGATAGTCACCAATAACCGTGAAGTCCACCTCAGCCTCCAGGCTGGATGTGGAGCTGACCGTGATGCTGGAGCATTTGCGCTCTATGGCCAGGTGGTTGTCTTTCAGGAACACTGCGTCCCTCTCCTGGTCCTGGTCCTCATCTCCTGTGTCACTCTCTGGGGCCCGGGGACGTGGTGGTTTGACTTTCTCTTCCGATCCCTCCCTCAGCCCTGCTCTCTATGGCCAGATAAAACCAGAGGAATGGGATGCAGGGTAGGGAAGGGGAGAGAAAAAAGGAGAGAGAGAAAGAGAGAGAGAGAACATCAAGATGGTGCATGTCAGAAGAAATCTTGAGGCTGTGTTGAGGTCCTGAATGGAGCAGGTCAGGAAATGAAAAATCAAAAAAATAAAACAAAACAAACCCAGGAAAGGCTCCTTGAAATCATAACAAGCTTAAAAAACAAAAAGAATTTCTCAAGAGTAGGGATGCTCCTTCCCAAGGATCTCACACTGATGGCAAAAGCGAGTTCAAAGCAAATATCCTGCCAGTGAGTCCTGGACAGGAGGCCCCATCCAAGGCTTGGATGGAGGAGCCTATCAGAAGCGGCACTGTGCAAAAGGCAGGGATGGAATCCCGGACCCCAGGCCCATCCGTGCAGGCGGCGTCGAGAAACAAACTTAGGAGGGAGGTTAGGTACTCAGGAAACCCAGGGGAGGAGGCAGAGAGGCTGGAGCCAAGAGCTTGAGGAACGCAGAGGAAGCCAGCAAGGCTTGTCAATTCCACTGAATCTCCGTGGACAGGGTCAGCATCAAACAGTGGGAAGAACAATTCAGGGCCAGGCCCTCTGGGGACGAGCTTCCAGGGAGCCGGGTGCTACACCAGATCCACCCTTAGCTCCGTGAGTGGGCCATGGGCAGGCCATGGACAGGAGGTTCTGGTCCCATCAGTGTAATTGACAACAGCAGGCCAAGGAGATGCTAGCAACTCTTGTCCACTATACATACCTCTCAACTGGCCTGTCAGGGATTAAACACCACACACACATTTTTGGCTGGTCCATGACATTGTTTTCTGTTAAAAAACCAATCTAACACCCACAAAATATTTTTTTAAAGAACTTGACTTCAGCTTCTGGAGATTCAGTGTGCTTAAAAATTCACTTGCTAAACGGGCCTCCATTTAGCCAGTTTCTGGAAGGTCGAGAGGTGTGAGGAATACATTCCCGACAAGCCAGAGTGGAGCAGCCACGGGGGTTCGCTGCTACAGCAGGTAGGAATCTAAGAAGCGAAGCATCCTGGCCAGGTGAAGGTAACTAGGTCATCAGGACACAGAGGGACTGTAGAGACCTGAGGGCCCGAGGGGCTGGTGAATCTCAGGTGCCCCCCCTTCCCAGGGGCGTTTGCAGCTAAGCTGGTGAAGCGCTTCTCTTCCCTGACCGCATCTCCGGATTTGTTCTGGATTAGAGAAGACAGTTAGTCTTAAGGAGGCAGAAAGAAACTTGAAAGGGAACCAGAGCAGAGGATGGAAATCTCTGGACTGTCAGCTTCCACAAGGCAGGAGACCAGGGACAGGATGAAGAAAGATCACTGGCTAAGCCAAGCAAGAGGTAGGAATCGAGAGGGGAGGGGCAGCAAGGCAAGCATGTAATCTGCTGGTAGTGGTGGCACCTTCTCCACAGGAGTGTGTGTGACCCTCTGGGCACCAGGTCATACCAAAAGCTGAGGGTCTTTGTGGCCAAGCTAACGTGGGCCAAGCAGATGACCCCATCCTTCAGCCTGGGCTACTCATAGGTGCATTTGGGGAAAAGGCCTCATAGGGATGGACAAGCAGCCTTGGGTTGCAGTAATGATGAGCGGCCACTGAATCATGCTTCTAAAAGGCTACCAGGCATGCGGTCGGTGGGGGACATGATGGGGGCGGGGGCTCACATAGCCAGTTACCCCAGGCGCTTCCTCCAGCGTGGTTTCGCAGCCTGAATCGGGGGACACGAGCTCTAGTTCTGTGCGTCTTTCCTGGTGGAGTGTGGTAGAAATGCCCTCCCTGAAGTGTCTGGTAGCCAGAGGCATCATTGAGGAATGTGCGGTTTTGGGACTGGCAAAGTCCCCTGGGGGCTGGAGTTGGACGAAGCCCAGGTCTAAAATCTTGTTCCGCTGTTGCTCTAACTGACCCATGCAGGCCTCTGAAGTCAACTCATTTGGAAGGACCTTTGTTTCACTCTGACTAGCTCGACGAGTCTCAGCTCCATGGGTCTCAAATATCCGAATTTTGTTGGCCACTGAGGTCTTGCTTATGTCTTCCAGGGAGCCCTCTTGTCCCCCATCCTGGAAAGAGGTTGTCTCTTTTTGCTTTCCCGAAGGGAATACCAACCCCGGAGTTATGACCCCTTCAGCTTCTTCAGGAACAACTCTGGGCTTTCTGCTGGCCACTGGAGGTGCCCTGCGTTCACCTCCTGTGTCAGGGGGCACAATTAACCCAACTTGGTCTTTGGGCTCTGGGCTGTCTTTAGGAAGCTGGACATGTTTGAGAAATACAGGAAATTGATCTCCAAAGAGATCCCTGAGCTCTGAAGGCTCCCCTGATCCATGAGAAGCTGGGCTTGGAGAAGCTTCCTCCAGAGCTTCCAGAGCCTCAAAGTGACCAGGGGAGGCTGGCAGGGAGGTGACCACCTCCATATGAGGAAATGCTGAGGCTTCCTGGTCCCCCATCTTAGGTTGTCCGGTTTGGGTATGAATGGCTCCCCTCTCTTTGGAGAGGAAGTTGCCTCTGTCTGGTTTGACTGGCTTCCTGACATGAGGAGGGATGGTCCACAGAAGGGCATGGGCCTGGGGGTCCAGGCACACCCTGCCTCCTCCATTAGTGGAGTGGTCCTTCCATCCTGCTGAGGGACTTGATCTGGCCTTTTCCCTCAAGTTCCCACTGGCAGGGGGCTCTTCCTTTTCAGCTGCCCTGGCTGTCGGGTGAGACTCTCCCTCCACCTCCTGCTGTGCTTCTTGCCAGTCCTCAGCAAATGTGTGTCCTGGAGAAGGTCCCTGCTGGTCATCCTGTCTTCCGTGGTTCCTGGGAGACCTGGTTCCTTCCTCGGAGGAGGCAATATGGGCTTCATCCTTGTTCCTGCCGGCAGCTGTGGCGGAGCCCCTCGGGTCTGTGGCATTCAGCTCTGAGCTCTCTGGGAGCTCCCCTGGCAGTTCCAGCTTGATGTGTCCTCCAGGAGGGGCATCCAGGCGCTCTTCTCTCTCTTCCAAAGGCAGAGGGAGAACTTGATCTTCAGAATCTTTTTCTCCGTGGTTTAGATAGAAGCTCCTCTCTGCAAAGGAGGTATCAGTCTCATCGCTAGAGTCAGCTCTGGCTTCAGCATGAACAGGATCCAACAGAAATGACTGGAGGCCTCCCTTGTCAGAGGCTGGAGAGGGGATGTCCACCTCTGCTGGCCTGGTTCCTGGAGTTGTGGATCTTCCACACGTCTGGAGCTCCTCCAGCCTCTTCCTTAGCTCTGCACGATCCTCCAACTGACCATCTGAGACTGGGAAGTTCCTGATGGGTGCCTCGCTGATGCCAACCCTGAGCTCGGAGCCCTCAAGGAGCTTGTCTGACAATGTGCATCCTGTAGCCTGGGCAACCCCTCCAGTACCTGCCCTGACCCAGGGGCCTTCCTCCCACACCGACTCAAAGTCTTCTGGACTTGCAATCATCCTCCCTTGCTGCTGAGTTTTGGCATTTTTGGTTCCCACCATTTCTTCTGTGGCCATTTCAACTTTGAACTTGTCCACCAGAATGTCTACCTTGGAGAGTCTGCCATCGGCAAGGACGTCAGCGAGGCCTGCCTCACTTTCTTCCTGCTGTGTGTTGGCCATTTTTAGGAGACTGAGACCGAGTTCTTCTGGCTTAGTGTACTGTCTTTCTATAAATACCCAATGCTCCGAACCCTGTGTTGCAATTGGAGCAAGAAGAGTTAACATGAAATAGCAGGCACCTGAAGGGCGGGTCACCCTTCTCTCTGTAAAAAGGGACCAATCTACCACCAAAAGGTAGTCCAGTGTGGACTGGGATGGCATGTCCCCAGAACCGGTTGGGGAGAGAAAGGCATGATTATGCCAGTCCTTCTCACAGGTTATTCTTCCCATTAAGGCACCCCAAAATAACTGACTGACCTTCCTCAACCCCATCCCTCACTTGATAAGACAGGATGGGTTCTCATGCTCTCCCCATGCTAACAATGGATAAAGTGAGATCCATGGATGGGCCAGGACTCTTCCTCTTCCTCTTTTACTAAAACAATTGCCACTTTCAGAGGAGAAAGTACTTAGATCACTGGGAACTTCTGAATGTTAGAGCTGAAAGAGTTTAAAACATTACTTGGTCTAATCTCCTCAGTGTGTAAGTGGGGAAACCAAGGCCTAGAGAAGGTCAGTGACTTGGTCATGGCTACCACTGACTTTCAGTGCCTGGAATCTCTGCTGACTTATCTCACAACCTTGGAAGATGGGTGTCACCCGTGATCCACTGCCAAGGTAAGGGAAGCATTGAGTTCCACAGGGCTTAGTCTAAAATCTGACCTTTTTATAAGAGCTTCTGGGAAGGAAACAGATTTTGATTATTAGCAAAAATACCAAATGGCCAGGTTAGTGACAGTCAACACAATGGCTTAAAAAGTTTGAATATAATGGATTTCCATCCCAAAGAAATAAATACCAGGGTCCATCCTTGGAGAATTCTAACAAAACTCATAGGGTTATAAAGGGCTGACCAGAATACATCACAGAAGGAAAAGACTTATAGACCCAGGCATCATCATGGGGCAGAGGGACCAGCATACCCAACTGTCTACTGAATGGTCCTCTACCTGCCACAAGGGGTCTTCAAACAGTACTTGGGGGGAACGATGGATTTCTGAATCATTAAGGTGGCAGGAAGGCCATTGGGTTTCTAATATTCTTGGAGCCACAGAAGACTTGTTTCCCACAAAATCTTAATGGAAGTTCATCTAGTATGTAACACAAATATCGGGCAGCCCAGTACCCTGATGTATCACTCTCCTTTGAAATCACTGCTCTGACTAAAGCCCCTCAGAACAGATATGGAAACCTTACCTAGGACTAGTGAAGAAAGGCATCTTGTCCAAGGTCACAGAGTGAGCCAGGGGCAAAGGCAAGACAGGCCTAGGATCCAGTCCCTAACTCCAAGTTCTGTGAAGTATGTCCTTTCCACCCCACCATGACCACCTCTGCAGTATTTGTCA